GATTTTTAAAAAAATTTAATCCCTTAGTTTTAATATTTTTAAAATTTCTTTCCTGTTCTCTATTCCATGTATTTCTGTTCCAATCTTTATTTTATCCTTCTAATTTTAGTTCAGTTTGTTCTTCTTCTAGTTCCTTGAGATACGAGTTCATGGCCTTTATTAGAGACTTTTACTTTTTTAATGCAAGCGTTTGTCACCATAACCTTCCCTCCTAATGCTGCTTTTGCTGCATCTCACAAGTTTCAGTGTCTTTATTATTTTTGTTTGCCTCAGACAGTTTTAAACTTCACTTTTCACGTCCTCTTTGACCCACTGGTTGCTCAAAAGTGAGCTTTGTAATTTCCCATGTTGGCGAGTTTTCCGGCTTTCCTGCTGCTATTGACTCCTAGTTCCATCCCGTGTGGTCAGAAAAGCACTTGGTCGGTCAGTCTTCTCAGCATTGTCAAGCGCTGTTTTGTGACCTAACGTGTGACCTACACCTGCGCTTGTGTCCTGAGCTTTAGAAGCAGGTCTATCCTGCTGCTTTGGGTTGGAAGTTCTGTGTACGTTTGCTAGGTCATTTTACCTAGTTCTCTGTTAGATTTACCCATTACTGAAAGTGGGTTCTGAAGTCTCCACTATAACGGTATGGCTATTTCTCCCTTCAGTTTGGTCTAGTTTATGCAGAATTCCAATTAACTGATGTAGACGCTCAGCCATCAAGCATGTGGAGCTACCTTCCCACACCTTAATCATGACCTTGACCTTAACCCCACCCTGACCCTAATCCTTAACCTAAACTTGAACTCCAAACCTTAACACTAACTGTATTTCCTTACTTCTAAGCCTCTAAACAGAAACATCTCAGTAGAATTCCTCCAGTGACAGAAACGTCCTTTATCTTCCCTCTGGCTACTGTGACTGATAACTGGACTTTTATTTTGTTAATTTAAGTTAATTTGAATTTTCAAAAGCCACATGTCATCAGTGGTGTCCGTATTTGGACAAAGCATACATAGTGCCCTGCGACGGGCCTAGGAGATAGTCACGTGTGTGGTTTGGATCCCTAGTGCTCTTCCTTCAATGCAGGTGGATATTCAGAAACTATGTTAATGTTTGCGTTTTGGGGTTTGCTGCTGAGGTCAGCAGGAATACCAGCCTCCTGCCCAGCACGTCAGTAGGAGATCATGTCTACATTTCCCACAACAGAGATCAAAGCCCGCTCTCCACGTGGCTATCAGGAGTGGGCCAGAACATCCCCAGTGTCAACAGTGAGAAAGCCACGGTTGTCAGTGCAGAAACCACGTCAGCTTTTTTTCTTTCTTTCTTTCTTTCTTTCTTTCTTTTTTTTTTTTTTTTCTGCCCAGGGGACACTGCCAGAACTCTACAAACCCGACGAGGTGAGGTGGAACAGAGCTGAATACATTACATCTTGTCCACGGACACAATATGTAGTTCTCCTACATCAAAGCGGAAAACCAGAAAGCAGAGAACACTTGGAGTGGCGTGTTCTTTATTTGACCTGGCACTGACAGGACAGAGGAGGAAGACTTTAAAGGCTGAAGCTGGTCCTAGAAATAGCTTCTGAGCAACTTTTCCATCAGCCCTTGCAGTGGTGTTCAAAACAGAATGTGGTATGAAAAAGCCCTTGAGCAGCTCTTACTACTGAAAGTGAGTAAGGTTGTTTAATACCCAGAGCACTTTCCACGGCAGGTGAAAAGAAGGAATACCATTCACAAATACCACAGAAGCACCTCTTGATTGCTTCCTTCAGGAAGACAATGATCATGTTTTTTCTCTTGCCATTTAGGTCACCCGTGACCCCCTGCTGAGTGTCAAGGATCGGTGTCCCTGTCTGAACCTGAGGGCTCCTCTGCCCACAGGTGTGGTGGTGTCACTGCTGCGTCTTGGCTGGACCTGGGCAGGGCTGTCGGCCTCTGATGCTGTGAGGGGTGAGCATTTTCTCTAGAGGCCAAGAAAAGACACGGGTGGGAGATTCATGCATTCCTCATGGTTCGAGCAGATGCTTATTGCCGAGCAATTCCAGCATTTTTTCTATTAGAAATTCTTACCCAGTGTCCCAGAGTCACAAAACTGTGGCTACTAAATGTATAAACTGCGCTGCTTGGATTCCAAACTCACACTGATAAAAATGAGGCTAAGAGAAAAACTCTGGAGCATCTTTATGTCAGATACGGGACCTAGGAACTGTCCAGCTGCTGAAAATGCACTCAAAGAGGCTTAACAAAAATCACAGGCTTTTAAAACTGCTGCACAACTCTCCCCTCCTCAATAAGAAGGGCTAGACAAGCAGGCTTGAGGCTACTCAGCCTCCAGGGAGAATGACCAAACCACATGGCCCCGGGAGTGACCCTCTGAAAGTGCCCAGACACCACTGCGGCCGGGAATTGGTAAGCAGAGAGCACTACAGTATCAGGGTTCCGTGTTGTTACAACTTAAATAGGGATTCATTTGGTGAACGATCAGTACGTATTTTTCAACTTAGGAAGGTTTACTTAGGCAGAGCTTTCCAGTTTTCAGTTCATATAAATATTTCCAAAATACAGTAAAAAGAGTGTCATAATGGGTTCCTATTCACAAATGTGCAGGCTTTAACAATTACTACATCGTGCAACATTTGCTTCATATTTCTGTACTGTGAAATACTATAGGTCATAACTATTACAAAATTTCGCTCCAGTATACTTCAGTATGTACCTGTAAAAAAGCGAGCACGACTCCCTATAAAACCACAGCACATGCTGCACCTACAACCTCAACACCAGAACTTCCCGCATACCGTTCAATGCTTAGTTAGAGGTGTTTTCGAAGCCAGTTAACATGAGAAGGTGGGGACGTTGGGCATCAAGGGAATGTCATCGAGAAATGACATTTACATGGCTAAGAATCTAGGGGTTTCCCATGAGAATCAACTAAGTGCCTGCCACGAGTGAAAGGGAAAAGAGAAAACACAAATTTTCCCTAGAACCATAGATGGTGCAAACCTAAGATTAGGCATGAGCGCTTCCATGCAGCCTTGCTGGGGTGAACCAATACGTCCTAACCTTTCAACATGAACATGACCACACACTGACACTCAGATCTGTAGGAACTACTGGATCTCAGACCTTGCATCCCTGCTTTTCTCATCAGACACAGACCAGAGCGTCCAGCACTCAAACAGTACGAGAGGACGCTGCCCCCAGAGGCTGTGAGCTTTTGGGCTTCCAGGGGCGGCTCCAGCCAGGCCTGCCCTCTCCCCCTCCGCCCTCACAGCTGTGCTGCCGGGGGTCTTTGTGCAGCACCGGCTCTCCCACGATCAGCAGTACCCGGGCTCTCGGTTGCATCCTCCTCTTTCCCCTCCTCCTGCACTTCTTCTGCTCTTGACTGCTCCCTGCCTGCACCAGCGCAGCCCGTGTCCCCCACAATCCACACTGGGAGTAGCGTTTACAGTGGCCTATTCCACATGTGGGCCGAAACCATCACTGTGGCCTTGGCTTTCAGGGTCACTGCTCCTGGGAAGAGGGCGAGGCACTGGCTGGGGTCAGTCTCATCTGCTCCCTGACTCAGCTGACTCTCCATGGAATCTGCCCGGGCACTCCTTCCCCTTCACTGACACAGCCACACTCCAAGCCTGGACGTGTCCTCCTCGAGTGCAATGAGGACGCATCCCCGTCTCCAGCTGTGTCCTGGGACACCGGGCTCTTTGGCCCCAGGGAGCTTCACAGTGGCTTTCCTGTCCAGGAATCTGCCTGATACTTCAAGGAAACCAAGTTCCTGACCTTCCGCGTTCTGCTGCTCTGCAGTGTCTGGGTCAGTTGCCTCCCCGTCTGGAGCGGCCCAGGGGACGTCACAGCGGCCACGGGGGTCTTCTCCATCTTGGCCTCCAGTGCAGGGCTGCTAGGCTGCCTCTTTGCCCCCAGGTGCTGCAGAAATCCACTAAGACCAGACAGGCACACCTGCAAGGGGTATGGAGTAAGACAGGTTCTGGGTGCAAATAAAACAGAAACAGACATTAAAAAATAAGTAACCCATTTTGCACAGATACTTGGTGAAAAGTTTAAGTTACCACTTACACTCTGAGAGAAAAGGTAAGCTCTGTATGTCCTGCAGTGGCTCCAGGGACACCAGCCATCAGCGATCAGCTTCAGAAGCTCCAATGTCACCTTAGACATTTCCGGGCACACAGTGTCTGTCCCACCTCCTGGCCCTCTGCTCTGGCCTGGGCCCCACTTCCCTCCTCTTCACTGCTTTCCCAGTTACAAAAGTCTTCCCCACACTGGGGTTTGAACACATTTTTCCTGTTTAGAAAATATTCCTAGAGGTTGGTGTGAGGCCTTATCTATGTTGCTTCCCTGACATTCACTTCTGTGAGTGGTGAGTGAGGAGTCCCCATTCCAGGGCAGAGGACAGTGGACCCATTTTTGAAGCTCCACCTGCACCAGGGTCCATGGAACCAGAGACAAGGGGTCAGGGCGGGGGAGTTTCAGCTGTGGTGAGTCCTCTGGGAACACAGGAAGTGGACAAACTGGGCACCCTGGAAATCCAGTGTGTGCCGGTGCTGGTGGGCCCTGCTGATACGGAACGATCCAAGGGCAGGGGTCCCGGTCACTTGAGGGGAGGCGATCTGAGGCTTCGGTGCAGGGAGGGGGTATATCCTGAGTAGAAAGGGGACAATGAGCCTGGTTCCAGGCCAAAACCCCGTGCGTGATCTTTCCAATTGCAACCACGCAAAGGCTCCACCTGGCAAAGCCCCGGTGAGCTGCCATCTCCCTGGACTCAGACACAGCCCTGCGTGCATCCTCTGGGGGTGCGGGTGAGGGCTCAGGCTCCTCTGGCCATACGCTTACCCACATCTGAATTTCTACCCCAGTGCTCACATCCGGGGGCCTGGCGGGGAGGCGGGGGAGCTACGGGTGGGCACAGGGCCTGTGTGGGTGGGGCCTTGGGGGCAGGTCCTGTAGGGGCCCTCGGGAGAGGGAAACTTCCTGGGAGGACAGAAGAGCTGTAAGACCTCTCCGACTTGGGTCTCAGGACTCTCCTACTCCTGGCCCTCCGGGATACGAGCAACTGCAGGCATCTCCTGCTCAGGGCTCTCTCCGCAGTGTGACCGCCCCCCTCACCCCCGCTACTTGTGCAGGTCCGCCCGACCCCCAGCTGCAATGCTGGGCCTCCTGAGAGAGCAACGGGTAGTCGGTGCTTCTTTCCACTGACCTCCTGCCAAATGTGCCCAGAGCAGCGACCACAGGCCTCGCTGACTGACCAGCTACTCCCACAGCTGAGCTCAGCAGAGCCCCGACAAAAGAGGGTCCCCGCCTCTGCTGAAGGAAAGTGGTCCTCAGAACGGCCGTACGAAACAGAAGTGCTGATAACATTTGTCAACCGAACGCCCTACTTTACTAAAAATCCACATACATAATCCATTTTACAAAAACAGCATCCACGGGGATTTCTCAGTCCCTTCCCTAACCCCACAAACGAAGGGGGTCCTGAGAACACGGTCTTCCTCCAAACTCTAGGGCTGCCCCAGGCACCCCAGGCCCCTGGTCCCGTCTCAGGAGGTGGGGTTAGTGGAACCCGCCCCGGGGAGCCAGCCTGGGGCACCTGGAGCCTGCCAGAGCCCTCATCACCATCCCAGGTGAAGGGCCTGCCAGGACCACAGACATGCTGACCACAGCCTGAGCCCCAGCTGGGAACGGCTCCCGGCCTCAGGAGGAGGAGACCGGGTACCCGTAGTGGTTGCGGTCAGCCTCGCCCAGAGTCAGTGTCAGTGAGAGGCTGGGCTTCCGCTCGATGTCCTCCTCCTCTGGGCAGTGCTGTGGGGGCCGGGCTTTGAAGAAGTCAGAGATGTATCGGACCTGGCAGAGGAGAGGAAGGTAAGAGTGGGCGGGGATGAGGGCAGAACCACACAGGGAGGGGCGGTGGGACCCAGGAGGGGAGGGGGCACCGTGGGGCAGGGCAACGAGAAAGACAGAGATGGGTTCTTACAGGGAAGATGGGATAGGGGAGGCCTGGGGTCCTGGGAAGCGAGAAGGAGGGCAAGGGGGTCCCAGAGTGTGGTCTCGGGTCAGGGCAGGGGGTCAGGACCCAGGAGCTCACAGTGAGGCCGGCCACCAGTGCCCCCTGCAGGAGGCCGACGAGAACATCGCTCCAGTGGTGCTTGTGGTCAGACACGCGGGTGTAGCCCACGTACAGGGCGAAGGCCACCAGGAAGAACTGCACGGTGGGCCGCAGCAGCCGCGCCCACTTCCAGCGGAGCCGAGCCTGCACATAGAGCTGGGGACCAAGAGCCAAGAGCAGCCGTCAGCATGGGCCCCTGCCAGGCTCAGGTCCCACCCGATGCACAGATGGAGCACTGGGGCCAGGAGTGAACCCACAGACCCAGGACCTCCCGTTTTTAATGACCAAGTCAGTTAGCCTACCCATCACCCCCTCACCCACCCGTGGAAGGGGAGTGACTTGGCCACTGCCCCACAGCAAGCAGGCCACAGAGACACAGACTCACCGCCAAGAACATCATGCAGTACATTCCGAAGGAGGAGTGCCCAGAGTAGAAGGATAATCTAAAAAGGGGGTGGGGGCCAGCAGGGTCAGGAGGCCGGGCAGGGGGCAGCCCCCGGGCTCAGAGGCCAGGCAGCTCCCGCAGCATCGCTGCCTTCAAACACCGCCTCCCCCCGTCTGCCCCTCCTGCTGGTTTCCCTAAGCCCGGGACTCAGCACAAGGAAGGAGTTCATTGTAGAAACACTGCTAGCATTAGACACCATCAGTTCTTCCCTTTCCACTTTTCTGACGATGCAACAGAAAGTCTCAGTAGGGGTGCGTGGTCCTTAGGGCCTCACCATGAAGATGCTAAGGGCCCGGGACACAGACCCAGGGCAGTCAGCTGTGTCCAGCAAGCTGTTAAAACCACAGCTTCACATTCACTGTGTTTCTATACAAGGTTATTTTCCATCTGCGGCCCCTGATGCAAGGTTCACATTTTCTTTTTATATAATTTCAAATTTTAAAATGGCATATTAAGAAACTCCAGAGGTCCACTCCACGCCCCCTGACAAAAGCAACAGAAAAACTGACAACAATGATGAGAATCAGATTGGAGGTGGCCACGTGCACCAGACGGACCAGAACAGACCTCACTTACAAAGAACTGTGACTGTGTGGTCCCAGCTGGGGGCTCCCTGGAGCACTGGTCGGAAACATTCATAGGAAATGTAATCGTCACTGCTGCCTGGGGCAGTGGACAGCAGTGGAGGCAGGCAGACTAACCAAAAAGCTTGGGAGGAAAGGCCAGGGAATGAGGTGCTCTGGAGAGTAAGGGTTGGAAGTCTAAAGGCCAGGGCTGCACCCATGCTCAGGAAAGAACTGAGAAGGCCCAAGACTCTCACCTCTGGCCGACCTTCAGGTGCTGCAAGCTAAGACAGAGTTGTCAGTGGACACGCCCCAACACGGCACAGAGCCCACCTGTAAACCGGGAGTTTTTCCCCCAGTTCCAGGTGTTCGCAGCTAACAGCAGAACTTCATGGCCACCGTGACAAAGAACACAGACTTCACAAAATTAGTTCAGAAAAGTCACTAAGCAAACAACCAGCAACATCTACAACAAACAGCAACAGCAATCCTTGGGGAGAGTAGAATCTGATTTCCAGAGCTGCTACTTTATAATGTTACAGGTGCTCAGTTTCCATAGAAATAAAAGCAAAAATAAACAAGTGGGACCTAATTAAACATATAAGCTTTTGCACAGCCAAGGAACCCATAAAACAAACAAAACAACAACCTACAGAATGGGAGAAAATATTTGCAAAAGATGAGACTGACAAGGGCTCAATCTCCAGAATATGTAAACAGCTCATGCAACTTAATAACAAAAAAACAAACAACCCAAACCGAAAACGAGCAGAAGGCGTAAATAAGCAATTCTCCAATGAAGACATACAAATAGCTAATAGGCACATGAAAACATGCTCAACATCACTAATTATCAGAGAAATGCAAATCAAAACTACAATGAGGTATTACCTCACACCAGTCAGAATGTCCATCATTCAAAAGTCCACAAATGACAAATGCTGGAGAGGGTGTGGAGAAAAGGGAACCCTCCTACACTGCTGGTGAGAATGCAGTTTAGTGGAGCCATTATGGAAAACAGTATGGAGATTCCTCAAAAAACTAAAAATAGACTTACCATATGATCCAGCAATCCCACTCCTGGGTGTATATCCAGAGGAACTCTAAATTGAAAAGATACCATGCACCCCAGTGTTCACAGCAGCACTATATACAATAGCCAAGACATGGAAACAGCCAAAATGTCCATCGACAGATGACTGGATAAAGAAGCTGTGGTATATTTATGCAATGGAATACTACTCAGCCATAAAAAAGAGTAAAATAACGCTATTTGCAGCAACATGGATGGACTCGGTCCATTACTTTAAGTGAAGTAAGCCAGAAAGAAAAAGAAAAATACCATATGGTATCACTGAGATGTGGAATCTAAAAGAAAAAAAAAAAAAAAAGGACACCAATGAACTCATCTATAAAACAGAAACAGACTCGCAGACATAGCAAACAATCTTATGGTTACCAGAGGAAAGCGAGTGGGAAGAGATAAA